CAGAGGATTGGGTCAACTGAACTGAATGAATCAGGAAGTCTTAAAGTTTCTCAAAATCGTGACTCGAAATCGTAGTCTATTCAAGATCAAATAACCATTATCGATAATGGAAATAAAGCGGTAGAACCCTGTAAAACTGAGCCATCTTGTAGTAAAAATTCAGATGTCCGACCCAATATTGGTCTTTACGAAAATTTTGATCAAGACAATTTATTTTTTTTTTAAAACCGGAGGCAAAAGAGCTTTTTCGCACGAGCGAAAAACACCCTTACTTATAATATTAATAAATAAAATATGTCTCTTTGTTATGGTCATTTTGTTTTTGTGGATTTGGGCCGGTTGCCTGTTTTTCCCGGGCCGGTTTCCACTTCCCCATTCACCCCTGAATATAATACTCCTAATGCAAATTTTAATTATTTTATACAAAATGTATCCCTCGTTTCACCATTCGATGAAGGTATGGGAGTGAGACACCTACAAATTTATAAAATAAAATAAAATAAATTCAGTAAATAGAATAGATGTTGCACATCTAACTTTCTCCAGTTTCAAATAGAAGAAATAGGTCACAGTCGATTTATTTTGATACAGCCCAAACTTAAGGCGTAGATTTATTGACTTTTCGGCTTTTTGTATACACACGCACAACGTAAACATCTGAAATTTCGATCTTCCAAAACGGAAAAGAGGTATGTAGGTTATCAGTGTCGAAGATAATTTTTAGTGTGGCTCTTTTATCAGTTTAAAACACTTATCTGCGCCTTCGATCAACAGCTAATTTAATAAAGCAACAATTTCCTTATGAAAAATAGTACAATATTCGTGCATTCCTTTATAGATAAACCTAAAGCATTTAGTGAAAGTAGATGGCTACAATGATGGATGAGACCGAAAATTAATCTTTATTTTTCTTTATAACATGTTTTGATATTCTTAGAAGAATATCATTAAAATAAATTTTGAAAAAATGTATGCAATTTTAAAATATTTAATATACATTATAAGTGTGTGGTATCAAATTATTCGTAAAAAAATGCTTTTTCCAAATATGCTAATGAGCCACCTTCGTTCCATTTGAAAAAATTGGGATATGATTAAAAATACGATTTGGGCATCTTTTAACCGGCCAGGACGAGACACTAAAAACATTAATAAAATCTATTTTTCCCAGGCTGCTTGATTAAGAATTAATGTTTTTAGCATGGGCATGGCACTCTAGATTGAAATTTAAAATACGATTTTTTAGAATTTCAGAATTTAGAATGAGTGGGAGGGGGGTTATTCACTTCGACCTTACAGATCCATTGTGTCCCCCTTTCTTGAATCATAACTCATCATACAGTCCCAGGGCTTTGACAAAAGCCAGTATCTGGGACGGTTTTATAGAGGGTAGTTCTCCATCTCCAATATCAGTCGTACCAAAGTTCATGGCACGAATGGTTGTCGTCTCGGCGCACTCAGTGATGAGGTGTACTGGTGTTTCACCATCTTCCCCACAGAATCTGCATTCGCCGTGTCTTCTTAGTTTCAATCTACTGAGGTGTTCATTGAGGAGACAGTGTCCTGTTAAAACCCCGTGACAATCCGAAGATTGTTCTTACTCAGACCTAGGAAGATCTGTGATTTTTATTGATCATAAGCCCTCAGAAACTTCTTCGAGTGTCCTAGACCATTGCAAGATTTCCATTCCAGGTTGCGGATGGAATCTTCCAAGTTCTTGAGTTCCTCCTTGAGTTGGTTACCACTTGGAAAGCAGAACGGTTCTGGTCCAGTTAGTGGAGTGTTCGCTCCTTTTCTACCTAGATTATTTGCTTTTTCATTGCCTTTTATCCCTTGGTGAGCAGGCACCCAGTGTAGGAGGACTTTGTTTTCTTTGCCTAATTTATTCAGCTTCTCTATGTATTCTTTGACCAATTTCGAATTGATTGAGACTGAGTTGATCGCCTTTAACGCTGCTTGACTATCAGATAAGATGGCTATTTCTTGTTTCCGATAGTTCCTATCTAAGATAAGTTGTACGCATCTCTCGATAGCGTAGATTTCTGCCTGTAGGATACTAGGGTAAGTGCCCATTGGTTCGGAGTAATTAGCTCTCGGCCCAAACACTCCGATCCCTGTTCCCGTATTGGTTTAGGAAGCATCAGTATACCAAGTTATGGTATGGTCTTTTAACTGCTGGGCAAGCGTTTTGCTCTTCCAATCCTTTTTATTGCCCAATACTACATTGAGATGTTTCTCAAAGTTGTAGGTTCTTGGCATATCGTCCACTGGGAGTTGCAGGAGTGGTATTTCCTTTATGAGGGTGTTCCAAGCCCCTGATCTGACAATTCTCCCAGTACTAATTCCGTTAGTGACCATTCTAATCATTGTCGCATTGGCATATATGCAATGACAATGTGCAGTGGTGTTAGATCTAGAATGACCTCCATTGCTGCTGTTGGACAGGTTCTCATGGCTCCTATGATGCAAACGCATGCTAGTCTCTGGACTTTGCATAGGTTTAGCCTTGCCGTCCGTTGCTCTAGTTTTGTGTACCAGGCCACTGCTCCATAAGTAATCATGGGTCTTACTATCATGGTATACATCCAGCGCAAAATGTTAGGGGAGCAGCCCTATCTATTTCCGGCCAATCTTCTGCATATCATGAGAGCCTTTATGGCTTTGCTGGTGTTCTTAATATGCCTGTTCCACAGGAGTTTACTGTCCAGGGTTATTCCCAGGTATTTAATTTCCTGTGTTGGCAGTATTTCCTTTCCATCTAGTTGGATTCTTTTCAAGTTTTTCAGACTTCGCTTTCTGGTGAATGGCACTATCGCGGTTTTGTCTGAGTTGATACTCAGCCCGACAGTCCTACACCATCTCTCAGTGATACGGAGTCCTCTTTGGATAATATCACACAAGGTGCCTTCATGTTTCCCCCGAGCGATCATGACTATGTCATCTGCATACCCAATGCAGTGTATTCCCGCTAGAGTTAATTCATCTAGTAGTTCATCCACCACCAAGCTCCACAGCAAAGGGGAGATTACTCCACCTTGTGGAGTTCCTTGCGTTGTTTTAACAGCTACAGTTTTGGTGCCCATCTGAGCCTCTGCTGTTCGTGTTGACAGCATTTCACAAAACCAGCGAATAATAGTTCTGTTCACCCCTCTTGTTTCTAGAGATCGCCTGACCACGATTACTACGATTTTTTAATAAGAGACAATGTCAAAAATTCACATATGATATTATGTCATCATTCTATTCAGAATGTCATTTTCTATCAAATAAAGTAAAAAAATAACGAGCGTACCATTTAAAAATCAAAAGTTGTAGTCATTTCCGGTGAAACCGGAAGTGATTGAAAACATTTGAACAAGTCAATCAATTTTAATTTATGTCATATACTAACATACCAAATCTCGTTTTTTTAACTGAAAAAATAAAAAAGTTATAGGGGTGAGCCACTTTTGAGACGCACCACATTATCTATTGTCAAATAAGGAAATGAAACTACTACTCACTACTACACGATTACCTACTCACAATCTTATATTAAAAATTAGAAGTTGAAAAATGGTTTACAAAATTTAAAAAAGACAACATTACGTAGGAACAAAAATATAAATACAGTAAAACCGCGGTTATATATATAAAACACCCTCCTCGGATAACTGAAAACTCGGATAATCCGGAATTATTAAAAAATAAGCACCAATACGTACTTTAAACGGTTTATTAACATTTTTAACATGTAAATACATAAGTACCTACATATGTAGATACTATCTACATTATAAAACAATGAAATAAGTATCTATGCGCTGCTGTTTCATATTGCATCTTCTTTTTCTCGCTGCGCTGTTTCTCCCCCTGATTGTTGTTGTTCGATATACCTCAGAGCTGTTTCCAGAGAAGCAAAACCTTCTTGATGGGTAATCTTAGTGGAAGGCTCTTCATCCACCTCTTCGTCATAGTTATAGTCATCTGATTTTTCGGTTTCCCGAAAGGCTTTCGCTATTTCTTCAATATTCATTTCTTCTTCTAAATCATCTGCTGTAACCCATTCATCAACGTCTTGTCTTGTCACATTTTCGCAACCTTTTAAGTTTTGCATTAATTCTAATAAACATTCTTCTTCTTCTGTCTCGTTAAAATTTGTACAGGACATTTCCATCCAGAACTGCCGGTAAACCTATCTGTCTCTGGAAATTGCTTACTAATCGTTATTGCTTTCTGCTGCAAAATGGGACCTGACAGAGACAAACCTTTTGATCTTTGCTGAGTAAACCACCTGAATAAAGCTTCGTTAACTTTTTCATAGTCGCCTTTTTTCATTGATTTTCTTCGACGAAGAGGCTTGTTTTATACACACCATTCTTCTATTTAGTGCGGTTTCTGTTCCAATCTCCAACTGTTACCTCACCTACTCCGTAATCTCGTCCAACAATTTTAATTGTCGCTCCTGCTTGAATTCTCCTAATGGTTTTTAATTTATCTTCACTAGGAACGACAATTCTTTTACGTTTGTTTCGTTCCATTATAATACGGCAAACGAAAATTTAAACAAAGCAGTTGGTATACAGTTAACTAGAACTCCACCCAGATAAATCATGCGAGTGCATACGTATGCTACTTCTCCGTAGTGAGTGAACGCAATAACGAACTGCATTCACTCAAATTTACATGCTAAAAGAGTCCAAAAATATAAATAAGGGGAACCACTCACACGAGCCAAGGGGATTCCCCGTCGGTCCCAACGATTTTAAACGGAAATATGTAAATATACATATAGTATATTTTAGAAGCTCGGTTAATACGGAGCATAGACGCGCGACCTCGGATAATCAGGGTCTTTAGATTGGATCGGTTAATCCGGAGCTCAGATTGCGAATAAGGATAATTGGGGTTCTACTGTAAAACCTAATAATAGCTTAAAAAGATAATGCAGACAGCTAGAAAGGTAAGTAATCAAAATTGTCATCAGATTTCGAAAATATATAACGGTAACTTGTGTTAATTTTATGAAAAATATAAATAGTCTGACATAATCTGTCAAGCATTTACAGTATACATTCTCCAGTATCATAAAATAAGTCTGCTACTGAATATATAAAGATGTCCAAATTATATATTTATGAACCAATATCACGAGGTACTGGCAACGCCATAAACCAAGACGAACTGCAATGGACCGGAAGCGATGAGGCCGATGAAGACGATGATGCACCAACGCTGATGAGCGAACCGCCCACACTTGGACACAGATCCATGTCATTAATTTCGGATGTGCAAAGTAGATTACTGGACTCTCCGAACACCTTTTCACTATTAACCGGGCACCGGCAAAAGAGAACTTCGGCAATTGTGGATTTATTCGCAAACAATATCGTTTTTAAACATGACCAAGTCAATGTGTTGAAAACTAAACAGTCTTTTGTAGAAAAATGGGAAGTGTTTCCACGTCAACAATTATATCAGAAGCCACCTGTGTATGTATCAGTATTATAACATTGTAACAGTATATTATAGTTCAGTAAGATTTTGTAATACACTCACCGGCACGAAAAACGTTACACCTTAAAATTTTCATGGATTTTAATATCTTTTGTTCTAGTGGGCCGATTTTGATGTTTTTTTAAGCAATATCTAGCTAAGTTATTTGACTTTTTAGTGTCTCTTTCTAAATTGAAAATGAAATCTGGCCATTTTTTGAACACTAACAATTTTTTCGTAATGTTTACATTAAAACCATACCTTCCCTTTTGGTTCTAGTCAACAGACCTTGTAAGTTATGGTCCCGACCTTAGACTAAGAGTCCCGACCCCCTGGATAGAATAAAAATAACTTTTTTTCCATAGCAATTGTTAAAATTGCCTTATATCTATAAAAAATAGTAGATAAAATAGTACTTCAACCGCAAGAGTAGATTAAATAATGATACTTTAACAGCGAGGATAGGTTAAAAACTTTATTTTTCTTCTCGCACGTTTTTTAATTGCTTCCTTTTTTGAAAATTTATGTATTTCTTTTCATAAGTCATTCGGGATTTAAATGGAAATAGTTTGGATATGGCGTTTGTCGCCTCAGCCTGAATATCTGTTGGTAATTTACTTATTTCGTTTTGAGTAATAAATAACTACTACGTAACTATAATTTGACATAATATAAATGATCAAAAAAAAATTATGAGTGTAATGTCTTCTCCAAAATTAGTAACAACTTTGGCAACTGCGGCAACTTTTTGATAGGCACCCTGTTAAAAGTGTATATTCCCATTCATAGATATACTTAAAAATTAGGTTTTGATTAAAAATACGATGAGCGTAATCCTGCGGCCGGATCCTAGACTATAAGGGTTTGGCAAAAGCCAGTATCTGAGATGGTTTTACAGAGGTTAGTTCTCCACTCGGTTTCCATAATATCCGATATCAGTCGTACCAAAGTTCATAGCACGAATGGTTGTCGTCTTCACGGACTCTATGAATAGGTATTCTGGTAGTTCCTCATTTTCCCCACCGAATCTGCAATCGCCGCGCGCGAAGAAGCAACGAACATTTTCATGAGGTGTTCGTTGAGGAGACAGTGTCCTGTTACAAACCCCGTGATTTCCCGATTAATCCGAAAATTAAATGAGAAATTTCCTTGAGTGTATTAGACCATTAGAGGATTTCCATCCCAGGTTACGGATGGAGTCTTCCAGGTTCTTCAGATTAGCTTTAAATTGGTTTCCACCTGGGAAGCAGAAAGGTTCTATCCCTTGATGGGCTGGCACCCAGAGTAGGAAGACTTTATTATCTTTGTCTAATTCGTTCATCTTCTCTAAGCAATCTTTGACCAACTTGGAATTGATGGTTACAGAGTTGATCGCTTTTAATGCCGCTTGACTATCGGGTAAGAGGGCTATTTCTTGTTTCCGATAATTCCTATATCCAGCCATTGGACCCGGAGCGCTTCTCCGGGTAGTCGCTACCCTGTATTAGTTTTATATAGTTACTACTGTAATTACTGTACTCCTGCTTGACTAAAACCTCTGTACCCGACATTATAGAGGAATAGGAATTCATGCATCCTTACCTTTAATGTATTAATTATTAAAGACATCGACAGAGACTGTATCAGTTGGTATGTAGATTTAAAATTTAAGTTTTTTTATTAAAACGTCTTATACAGGATGAGTCATAAATACATAAGTGCAAATATTTTAGAGGTAGTATCTTTCAACCCCAGAAACACGTCTATAATTTTTTTTCGCCAAAAATGTTTTTGGAAATTTGGTAATTCTAGATTTTTTTTTAATTTTTAGTTAAAAAACATAATAACTTTTTCATATGGCAACATATAGGTAGGACATTAAATTTACAAGAAAGAAAACCCAGAAAAGATCCAGTGGTTCTGAAAATTTAAGCGAAAAATCATTTTTTTTTAATTTTCAAAGTAAAATATCTGGTTTATTTTGGACTTATTTGAAAAACGGTAAAGAGAAAATATGTTTCTTTTATCGAGATCTACCAGCCCTGAAAATATGTTCACTTATTTAAGAGTCACCCTGTATAGTATGTGCAACGAGAGGATACATGCCAGTAAAGTTATAATCTAATATTAGATCAATTCAGAGGTAAATTATTGTTCTTTCTGTCATTTTTGGATGTTGTAAATAATTGAAGTCTTCCCGGACTCGTGGGACAGACTTTACTGTAGAACTAATTTTCATGTATTTCCAGCATCAAGTTTCTCTCGCCGAATTCTGGAAAATGCCAAGGAAAGTCTTCTATGGGTTTGTTTTACAGTCAAAACTTAAGCGTTGTCCCCGATCAGCAACTGCCAAATGCCAATATTTGTAAGGACTTCTTGGAGGTTGTTGACATATCTAAACTGGTGGTCAACGACATTTTACAAAAAGCTACAGGTATTTGTTTCGAATGTAGAATGAGTGATGGCGGGGGGTAATCACTGTGACCTTAAAGACCTATTGTTCCCCCCTTCCTTTAGTTATAACAGATTGTACAGTCTATAACCCATTATATATATTCCTGTTGTAGACAGGGGACAGTGTATTTTCCATCCTCCTCTGACAACAGACGTGGAAGGGTGTATACCTCGGAGAGTATACACTCTTCCACGCACGGAGAACCACATGCCCTTCACACTCAAGGAGCTTCCGGCTGAGGTACCCGTGAGGAGGAGGCTGTTGTATCTGTCTCCATTTTCTCTACCTCTTTAACTTGGTCTCTCCTTAGACCAGATACCGGTGTTGTCCCGAATCTATAAGAAAGGATAGATATTTGTTCTACATCACCCGTTCATAAATTGTAATTTAAATTTAAATTATTAAGTTTAAGACCATATAAATAAAAATGTATAGGGAAATTAAAACAACTTTCGTTGCACGTCATCAATGACACCATGCGTCGTTTTATGGAATTTGCTGGTGGTCGTATTATGATGTACAAAAAAAGTTATTTTAATTTCCCCATATGCTTATTATCATCACAACAATTTAAATCATTTTTTTACGTAGTATTTCTTTTATGCTAGGTGCTATTGAAAATTTGAAGAAACGCGAATCTGCAGAAAGAAAAACTGTTGTTGTAAGAGAAAAAAGACGATTGAAATTTTTGACCATAAGAGACTTCTCCGTAGACTCTGGAGCTAATTTCATACAGAACTACATTCTGAAATGCAACTCCTTCTACTACGAATGGAAAGTCTCAATAGTCTATGTTAAAATGCGTACATATCCTTCTAGTGATATTCATTTGTATGAGGTATTTATTAGTAGTGTAATTGAACAGAAAAAAGCGACTATATCCTGGTGACAGAAAAAATTGTCTGAATATACATATTATACATCCACCGGGTGCGTCTCAAGAATGACTCACCCTTATAACTTTTTTATTTGATCAGATTAAAAAACGAGATTTGGTATTTTAGTATATGACGTAAATTAGGATTGATTAACGTATTCAATTATTTTTGGTCACTTCCCGTTTCAAAGGAAATACCTACAACTTTTGATTTTCAAATTACACCCTCAGTATTTTTTACTTTATTTGATAGGAAATGACACTCTGAATAGAATGACATATCATATGTCAACTTATGACATTTTCAAATATGGTTTATTTGAAATTAAAACATGCGCTTCATAACCATAGATAAGATACTATATAATATAAAATAGATAGGAAACTCAATACATTTTGTCCGGACCGAGCGGTGGCGCCATCTCGTGGGTCTAGTAACGAAATAAAACATAAATTTAAAAAGGATAGATTCTATTTTTTCGGATTTTTCCATTTATTCAAGTAAATTGATTCAAGAAAGAGCCAATTTACTCGAATAAATGGATTTAAGTTAAAATGACAAAGGGGATATATCAAAAACACAAAAATAACTATAAGAAACCATCTTTATTGAACTGAATATAATAACAAAAACAATACAAAACATTATAATAATAAAATATATCTAGATCTATAACAATTAGGACAACCTATTTTACAATTAATTAACAATTAAAACTATAGCGTAACACCAAAGGTTCCAACCTCAAATGTAATCTTTTAACCGGTCATTACAGGACACGAAAAACATTAGAGGATCAAATCAATTTTTTGTCAAGGCTCCTTGTTTAAAAATTAGTGTTTTTAACACAGCCATGGCACTCTAGATTAAAAATTAAAATACAATTTCGTCTTAAGCGAAAATGTCAAAAGTTGACATATTATCATATGTCATTCTATTCATTCCTATATTCTATATATTATGCATATGTCATTCTATTCATAGTGTCATATTTTATCGAATAAAGTAAAAATATACCGAAGGTTCCACTTAAAAATCTAAAATTGTAGTCAGTTCCGGCAAAATAGAAAGTGGCAAAAAAAATTGAATACGTCAATGAATCCTAATTTATGTCATATACTAACATACCAAATCTCATTTTATTATCTGAAAAAATTAAAAAGTTATAGGGGTGAGCCAATTTTGAGACACACCTGGTATAATATGTATTTTATGAAAGTTAAATATTTTCGTAGATACACTTAGAAATAACTTAAAAATATTTTTAAACTATTTCTATATTTTCATATAATAAGTATCGCAAGATATTGATATCTTAAAATTCTTCCTATGTATTTTTTGTATAGGCGAACTTCACTTTACCTTCAAGATTATACCCTGTAGCACAAGCAACTGCTAGTATATTTTTTACTTTGGAAGTAAGCAGAATTTTGCCTGAACATTGTCCAGTTCGGGTAATTGTACATATAGTTCATATCAAATAAACTTTTAGTCACGTGATTAAGCTTGACCAGCACAGCGTTGCCAGTTTTTACATATTTCCTTTTAATCAAAATATTTTAGGAAACAAAAAAAAATAATTATAAATATATAAACAGTCATTATTTACATCAACGAAACTCCCCGTCTTAAAAGCATTTAAGGGACATAAAGGGCCATTACTACCGCTTTCCCGTTCAAAATATTCTAATAAAGTTGCGATGAGTTTTTTACGGCTATTAAGCTATTCTGTATCGCTTCACACTAAAAGAAGTTCTAAAAAGAACAATGTTCGACTGAAAGGTCTGCTAGGAAACATTAAATCAAAAACTCATTACAAAACTAAAATAAACCAACCTAACCAACTCAAAACGAATGAAAATGTCAGGAAGTAAATAAATAATGCGTCAATTTGACAGCAAAACTACCAACTGAATCCCCAGCGCGAAATTTAAATTCCAGTTAGTCAGCCGGGCGCCGAATATGTCTATGGTTGGCGACAATGAATTATAAATCGCGCCCTCGATTACGTAAATAAAAGTTTAATTGATATCAAATATATATTAATATTTTATTTTTCAATGGTAATATTTCCAAAAGTCAACTGCAAATAAAAATATTATGTATTTTAGGCTTACTTCGTAATAGAAGGATACAGGACGAAACTCAACCCTTGGAAATTTATTCTAAACGATGGTATTTTATTAAGAGTGTTAGACGCAAAAGTAAATTACTTTAGAACGTTTACATTTTAACATATCTAATTTAGAAGGTTTATTTTACAATTTATTATACTTTGTATATTATAAATACAATATTATTAAACAGTATTATTTTTATTTGGAATATTTTTAAGTTATGGTTGTAGTCTTTTTTTTTCTCACTCGATATAGACTAATGAGACTAATCTACTCTAATCTACTCACAGTGTCGAACTATATCGGGTGGTGGGTGCATCGACGCGGCGTTCCGCGACTATGGAAACAGGAAAATAATTTTTTAAAGATCTGCGTACGCTAAATACACGTGCCAATTTTAAACAATTTATTGTTCTAATTTTAATTTTTAACTAATTTAAAACTACATATATTTTTAAATTGAAACAGAACAAGTAATAAAAGCAAAACCAGGCAAATGAAAATATACCTTAAGTCGTCAATCTATGATTTTCTGAATGTCAAATTGTATTTTCTATACAGGGTGCTACAAATTAGAGGTACAAGCATTGGTATCTCGGAAACCGTAATTTATGACGATGGTTAAATTGGGGCAAAGTTGTTTCTTGCGATTTTCACCAAGATGCCATCAAAAAAGTTTTAAAAATTTCAAGGATTGCTGAGTTTTTTGGAAAAAAACGGATTTTTTGAAAATCAATTTTATTTTTTCCTGTCGTTACTTTTTAGAAAATCAAAAAACCTATTACACATTCTCAAAGCCACTTTATTAGGGCTATCTGATAGTACTTTTATATTTTCAAATTAGCTGATAATTTGTGAGAGAGGCCAACTTAATTTTTTTAAATTCGGATCTGCATTTTTTATTTGAAGTTTTGAAAGAACTCGGTCTCCTGAGTACAGTGATATGCCATACTTGATACTTTTTTTTGTTTTGGTTACCTTAACTATTTAATTATTATTAAACAAAACTATTTAATTATTATTTAAAATAATTTCAAGTCCAACTCTGGTTTTTTAAATTATTTAATCTGATTATATTCATCGCAACAATATTGATCAGCGCTAATTAACATATAATAAGGAAATATATTATTTTTAACTTCTTTTATTGTGAATTTGAAATTCTCAGTGTACAATCTAATATGCATAACATTAATCGTAGTTATTATAAATAAATCAACTTCTACAAACTATAGTTTCTAATGCTCTTACATGTTCAAAAGGGTTACCACCCTCCCTAATTCACAAATTCATTTTTCGTTCAATCTTGTTTATAGCTTTTTGAACATATCTTCTTCTTATATTCCGAATGCATTTTGTACTCTTTATAATAAATGTTGAAATGTATATTTCACTTCTACAAATGACGTCAAGTAATGCCTCCCCACTGCCCCTTGGCGACGACAGGTCCAGGAACCCCGTCATTATATTGCTCTACCATTTCCAATCCATCTTTCGGGAAAATGATTTTATTGTTTATATTACAGGGTGGCCCATCGAAAACGTTCCGCAAGGCCTAACGGCTAGGGTAATTTTTTTTTCAGAAAATTCAAAGACGTGGGTAAAACATTGAACACGGAAAATCAAATGCAATAAAATAATAAAAAATAATATACAGGGTGGCCCATCGAAAACGTTCCGCAAGGCATAACAGTCAGGGTACTTTTTTTTCGAATAATCCAAAAACACGTCAATTTTGTTTGTGAGGGGGACAACTTTTGTCCCAAAAATGATTGCAAAATCTTCAACCCTCTAAGCGGGGGTGGCATCCCCCAATTTTTTTCAAATGGGAAGGGGGGTCAAGTGATACCGCATTGAAAAGGGCTTTCTATTCTCTATACTTTCCCGCTTCGTTTTTGAAAATTGGTCGAGCCATTGAGAAAATATGAAGGATTGAAATTTGAAAAGTTTATTTAAACATTTATCAGAGTAAAGGATAAGGATAAATTCTTTCGACCAATTTGCTGTTTTTTCTTATTATTTCTAGATGTTTACGCATTTTTTCACTTGCCACAAGGATGAACGATCGGGTTAGGTAAGTGTACTTTCTTTTTGAAAGGTGTAGTTAATCGGCACAACTGTCGGTTCTGGGCTGAGGACAACCCCAGGGTTTTTTACGAGGTGCACACACAAAACCCTAAGAAATTGAAAGAAGAATATGTAAGGGATGCAGTAACCGTAGAGTGTAAGACGTTTTTGATATTGCATCACATTTTTATTGTACCCCAACAAACAATTTTATTTTGGATTGCTTGATTATAAAACACATAACAAGAACAGCTATTTTTAGTCTCTTCTTTTAATAAATTGATATATTTATTTATGCAGGAATATTATGACATGTGTTAATGGCACCGTTGCATTTTTTGCCACTAATATCCATCTTACGTAACGTATTTTCAAGACCGTCCGAAAATAACAAAAACATTGTGTTGCTATACCGATATATACATGCAGTTATCCACAATAATCAGCCCAACGTCAGAAATTAATTGTTTTGAGGCATTTTATTGTAAAAAGGAAAACAAAAGCTACTAAAACGTCGATAAGCCAATGAAACAATTGCTGTAAATACATGTCCCTCCTCTTGGCAACAGCGAACGTAATACGAAAATTGTTAAATAGATTTTGTTTGTACGAAGAGTCGATTTATATTTGCCACATCTTTTATTTTTCTAAACGTGACTCAGTATCATCAGATTTATTTTTGCAATAGTTTATTTTACTTATAATAATTCGTACTAATAATAATTCGTTGACCGTTCTTAAATTTGCAATCCATTTTTAAAATACTTCCTCTAAGCCGGTCCTTACCAGTGTAGAATTTAGGATGTGTGAAATCCTTTCTTGAGTTATAACTCATCGTACAATCTCAGGGCTTTAACAAAAGACAGTATCTGAGACGCCGCGACGTTACAGATGTTAGTTCTCCATCTCCGATATCAGTCGTACCAAAAATAATGGCACGAATGGTTGTTATCTCGACATACTCAGTGATAAGTTTGTTCTGCTGTTTCACCATTTGCCCCCCAGAATCTTCAGTCGCCGTTGTTTCTTACCTACAATCTTCTGAGGTGTTCGTTGAGGAGGCAGTGTCCTATTAAAAACCTCGTGACAGTCCAAAGATTGCCCTTACTTAAATCAAAGGTTATCTTTGATTTCTCTTAGTCGTAAGTTCTGAGAAATTCCTTCGAGTGTCTTCGACTGTTGGAGAATTCCTATTCTAGGTTGAATGGAATCTTCCAGGTTCTTCAGTTCGGCTTTAAGTTGGTTTCCACTTGGGAAGCAGAAGTCAGTCTGGTCCAGCTTCTAGTCCAGTTAGAGGAGTGTTCGCTCCTTTTCAAGCTAGATCGTTTGCTTTTCCATTGCCTTCTGAGCGTTAAGGCGAGTTTAGCAAGGTGAGCTGACACCAAGGAATAGAACGCAATGAATCCTTACCAAGGTTTGCACGTACATTCAGATTTTATACTTCTACTAAACCGATCATTATTTAAAGGGACTTTAAATCAAGCTTAAGTCACTTAGTAGGGGGAAATTTTGTATTTTATTTTAGGAACTGTCAAAGATATTGATTCGGGTTTAAAAAAGGTTTAAAAAATCGTAAAATAATATATTAATAGAAGGTTCAAATCAGCGAATTAAAATTAGCACCAAAATACTGCAGATTTTTACTTTTTTTACTTTCTGCCCTAAAAGCTTTTAGCTTGGTCGACACGGTCAAAGTATACTAGGATCAAGTACGGGGTGGGTCAAATTCGACGCTTTTAAATGGAAACACCCTTTTCTATAGGAGATAGACGAAAACTAATATCGGTGTCTGGAGCTCAATTTTCATCAAAAACATGATGGTGAAAACCGCACAGCAATATCTGTTACTGTTTCGGAGTTACGGGGTGTTTTTCAAAAATGTGCATTTTTAACAAATCGCTGTAACTTTTTTGCTATGGACAATTTTGTATTTCTATGAAAACATTTTCAAAGCACCTTTTTACGTAGAATTTAATGGTTGAAGTATAATTTTTTTAAAATTAATAATTTAAAATTACCTTTCCAAAAATATAGCACACTTGATATTTTGTTATAATCCCCCTTCGAAATACAGAATTTTTAAAAGTTCGCCACTTTTAACTAGTAGGCTTTGGACCCCTTATTGATGATATGCCCTTAATGAAACTCGAAAACATATTTTTCAGCAAGACGACGCACCGCCTCTGAACGCTGAAGTTATCAGCAAATTTGTGCAGCCAATTTCAAGAATAATTGAATAGCTAACCAAGATCCCAGCCGTTGGTCGTCGAGGCCGCCTGACTTAGTGCCTATGCGAAGATCCAAGCGATTATTAGATAATAATCTAATCCTATGGATATATTTGCGGAAGAATAAAGGTTCCTTATTATTCCGTAAAATCTAGCCAAGAATTAGAAATACTTAGCAGTTATGAGAGGGCATCTTTCACCCCCACTGAGTTAATGAATTCCGCGAGAAATGTTCAAAAACGGCCCCATCTGTCCATAACAGAAGACGGTCGATATGTCGAACACCTGTAGCAAAATCTCATGTCTTGGTTTGTTATTTATTTTTATTGTTATTCGATATAGTTTAAATGTGTTGATGTTGGTTAAATATATTTTAAATTGTTATAAAATTCTGCATCTCTCATAACAATTATTATTTTCGTTTTAATTGATGCTCACAGCTAGAACTTTTTTGCAGTACAGCCGGTGCCGTCCAAAGCCTACTTATTTAAAGCGGGCGAATTTTTATTATACTCTATATCTCGAAGAGGAATCGAGCAAAATATCAAGTGTGTTATATTTTTGGAAAGGTAATTTTAAATTATTTTCAATAAATTAAAAATATATAGGGTGTCCCAAATAAAATATCAATTTTTTTGTTGATAATTCTTAAATTATTAATTTTAAAAAAATTATACTTAAACCACTAAATTCTACGTAAAAAGATGCTCTGGAAATGTTTTCATAAAAATACAAAATTTTCCATAGCAAAAAAGTTACAGCTATTTGTTAAAAATGCATATTTTTGAAAAACACCCCGTAACTTCGAAACGGTAAAAGATATCGATATGCGGTTTTCACCATCATGTTTTTGACCAAAATTGACCTCC